ATTTCACGGGGCCCCGCCCCCCTTACATTTCTTTTGCTTTCCCCTTTGATTTTTTTTCTCACAAAAAAAATAAGATTTTTTTTATGCAGACTACTGCATTAGTGTTTTGAAATGGTATAAATAGTATTGGGACCCCTTGTGGAAAGAATATTAGACTACCCTTTGGTTTTTTGGTGCTTATCTGATTTGTTTACTTTTGAACTTTGGTAAAAAAAACGAACATTTCTGCTACTTTGAGCTCAATTTTAAAGGGATTTTCATTGTAAAAACCCGTCAAAATCATCGCAATTTCTGTAATATTTTTTCCATTCTATACAATGGACCACGAAAGCTAGAATTACAACAATAAATGCTACGAAAAATAGAGTGCAAAGTCGCTGTTTTAAACCAAAACACGGTAAATTTTTTTTTTTTTTCATTTCGCCTGTGTGCGCAGGATTTTTTTTTACTCGCACACTGACCACATAGACTCATTCTTTTTTGTAGGTACAGCTTTTCTTGTAGATTTTAGGGGGCTAGAATTTTTCATACTAGTACGTCAAAAACCCTGGTGCGTAAGCCGATAGTACGACCCAAAAACCCCAAAGGGGTTAAAGTTTTTCAGATAAAAAAACCTTGAAATTTAGCTCAAAGTAGCAGAAATGTTCAATTTTTTTCTGTGTTCAAGAGTAAACAAAAGTGTCATGCATCCCAAAACACGTAACTTGTGAGTTGATTACTTTCGCAAGTGTGCTGATATTATTTATACCATTTTCACAATAATGCCGTAGTCTGCATAACAGTAAATCTTCTATTTTTTGTGTGAATAAAAATTTAAAATGGAAAGCAAGCGTAATATAAGAAGGGCCTGGAGATGTGGCTGATGAACTGAGAAAATGTTATTTTAGTTGTAGGAATACTATTTGTATTGTTAACTCTGGACCCTATTTTGAAGTTGGCCTTACTTGAATTGTGTATGAAATTGGCCAGATTACCAATTTCTGATCACTTTATTGGGCAGTTGAAATCAAAGGACCCCAGTGGAAATTAAAGGACCCCAATGGAAATAAGTCACTCTGTCTGACTTTTTTGGGTTATCCTAGGTTCTCTACACATATGCTGCTATGTATGATAATTCTATAACTGTATTTGTGTATACCTGAATAAACTTACTTACTTACTAATCAGTAAATGGACAGTTTCTTGTACTCACTCGATAGAACAAATGGAATTCTAGTTTAGTCGACTGGAACAATGGAATTGACTGAAAATTGGGCTCAAAGTGGGTGAAAGCGCCGATGCGTAAATTTCATGGAAACCGCTAACCGCTTTTTAAATTCTTCGACACTGAGAGCAAGTTTGTGAGCAGGGATCTCGACAGTGAAAGAGTTAAAGGACTTTCTTCCTGCACACACCTCCCAAACTTGTTCACTAGCCTTTGCAACTTCTCTTTAGAATCTCCCCAAAGTACATTATCATCAGCAAAAAGTAACTGTGTCTACCCCAATTTTGTATTTGACTCCCCATAATTTAAACCCACCCCTCTCCCGAACACCCTAGCATTTACTTCTTTTACAACCCCATCTATAAATATGTTAAACAACCATGGTGACATTACACATCCCTGTCTAAGGCCTACTTTTACTGGGAAGTAATCTCTCTCCTACACACCCTAACCTGAGCCTCACTATCCTCATAAAAACTCTTTACACCATTTAGTAACGCACTACTTTTTCCATACACTTGCAACATTTGCCACATTGCTCCCCTATCCACTCTATCATATGCCTTTTCTAAATCCATAAATGCAACAAAAACTTCCCTACCTTTATCTAAATATTGTTCACTTATATGCTTCAGTGTAAACACTTGGTCCACACATCCTCTACCCATTCTACAACTGCCTTGTTCATCTTCAGTTCTTCTCTCTGTCTTACCTCTAATTCTTTCATTAATAACCCTACCATACACTTAACCTGGTAAACTCAGTAACCTTTTGTTTTTTTCTCAGCAAACCAGCTGTATCCCACCAATACAGGGTGACCTAAAAACAAAAACTAAAGTTCCTCTTTTAAAATTTACTAATTTATACAGGAGAAGGGGTTACTAACCCCTTGCTTCCAGCATTTTAGTTGCCTTTCACGACATGCATGGCTTACGGAGGAAGAATTCTGTTCCACTTCCCCATGGAAATTAGAAAAATTAAAGAACAAGAACTATTAAGAAAATAGAAGAAAACCCGCCGCCTCGTATCCAAAGCTGCTGTCCGAAGTATTCGTGCACAGGCAGCCATGATGCTTCAACCAAACCAGCTTGGCTTTGGGGTCTCTCAAGGAAGTGAAGCAGCGGTTCATGCAACAACTGCGTATATCAACAACCTGCCTGAGGACAATGCAGTGGTAAAATTAGATTTCAAGAATGCGTTCAATCTCCTGAAAAGAGACGTGGTATTAGCAGCAGTACAAGAACATTTCCCTGGTCTCTTCCCTTTTGTTTCAGCTGGGTATAGCAAGGAATCAATGCTTCTCTTTGGAGAGCATGAAATCACATCATCGGAGGGTGTCCAACAAGGAGATCCTCTTGCACCATTTCTCTTCTGATTGCAGTTAGGGAAATCACAGTCAGACTGACCAGCGAGCCTAACATCTGGTTCCTAGATGATGGCACACTAGCAGTACAAAAGAGTCCCTCCTACATGACCTTACACAGGTAATGACACGGGGGACAGGAAATGGGTCTCATCCCGAATCCATCCAAATGTGAAATCATCTCGTCGTCAACAAGTGATAAATGCAGTGAGATCAAAATACCAGGAGCAGCAGTCATTGCCCCCACAAATAGTGTCTTGCTAGGGCACCTCTGGGAAGGGAATGCCATTGACACAATTCTCAGGAAGAAATTGGAAGGTTTAAAGGGGAATGGAACAACGAATAGGCAATCTGGACACCCCGATGCCTTGTACCTTCTCACAAAGTGCTTGAGTCTGCCCCGGTTGACATATTTCCTAAGATGTGCACCTTCATATGATAACCCTATACTGACGAATAGACAGTATTCGGGGGCAGATTTTTAAAAGAAAGTACTTAACCTTTCTTAAAGAGGGGGGCCC